GTCTCCTGTACCTCTCTATGAAGCCAAGGTCGATCAAGGAGGGAGCGGGGTCCCGAGGTAAAGGAACTGGGGCCGGCTAACGGTGAACTGGGGGACCCTGTGGTGGCGCCTGCTGATGGGGTGGGGGCACTGGAATGTGCTGTGGCGGTACCTGTTGGTACCGTGGCTGTGGTACCGGGTCGTACCGTGGAGGAACAGGCTCCTGCCGGGGTGGCTCGGGATCAGCCTGCTGTAACGGGGGCTCAACCTGCGCTAGCGGAGGAGGTCCGGGTAACTCCCTTCTCTCCTCTTGCCTTCGCTGAGCAGCTACGAGAGCTTCCACCATCTCATATAATCTGTCCAAATCCTCCCGAAGCGAATTATCTTGGGCCGCTCGGTTTAGTGGGGGCCTTCCTCTCCTCATTTCTGTGTACCTGCATTTACAAGGAATGGTTGAGTAACGACCAATCGGTGAGTATTTCTTTAAAGGACTATAGTGTAAGGGATGGGTCCGAGGAAATGCGGCTCTGATACCAACTGTAACGGCCCCGGAAAATATAAAAATGAAATGAGTATTTAAATATATCGAATGCGGAAGCGAGATCAAAATTTCAGTTAACATCCCTTACACGAAAAACCAAACAAACGTACTTAAAATATAAAAGGTTAAACTAACTAAGAAAGAAAACTCGAAAATAAACTATGCGTATGACTACAGAGTCTCTAGGCATCCCCTTCGTCGTCCTCCTGCGGAACGGGCTCGGGAACCATGTCTTCCTGATCTGAAATGGTTAATTAAGGAGTGAGCTACACTAGCCCAGTAAGAACATCACGATATCTCACCGTCACGGAGATAAAGGTGGGTAGAAAACCACAAAAAGACCAATGGAGCATAATTTACAATAAACTCGTTTATTAACAACAAAACCTTTTATCAATAATAAAACTTTTACCATCCACTTACCTTGGTGGAATTTATGAAAACAATATGAGAAAACAATAACATTATCATAATCATTGAATAATCTAAGCTGTAAAACATAACACTTATCACGCCTCTTGTAATTCAATCATTGTACAACATATCTTTTTTCTCATTTACCAGCCTACTAGTATCCGTGGGGGTCCATAGGGGTTCCGCTACCCGTTAACCTTTAACATTCATAATCAGTTTCCAGGGCCGTCCCCATACCCCGTCCGGTATGGGCGCCAAAACCATGAACCTCAATACCCCGTCCCGGTATGAGGGTGAAACGGGCCGTCCCCATACCCCGTCCGGGTATGGGCGCCCAAAACCATAACCTCAATACCCCGTCCGGTATGAGGGTGAAACGGGCCGTCCCCATACCCCGTCCGGTATGGGCGCCAAAACCATAAGATCTCCATACCCCGTCCGGCATGTGAGACCACAATCCCGGTAGGGTTCCCTACGGACCCGGTCCGTCCACCATCTCCCAGGATATCTAGTCAGGCTGACCCCCATAATACAATTATCAGTCTACACAATCTTTCATTTTTCCTTTTCCTCAATCAGCATCATCAATTCACATTTAAACAAGCAAATCGTAATTCATACCAAACAGACAACATACAGTATCAGTTTTTCAGTCATTCAACCCATAATTAATAAAAACGTAGTACATGCACACAAATCTGTAAAATGAACACATCAAACCTCATTTTGCATTTAAAGCTGTAAACAGGCCAAATAACAGTAAATCATCAATCACACTAGACTCGGGCTCCATTAGCAACCTTAAGCAATTTCACACATGCGTTAATTCAAGAAATACCGTTTTATCATTTTGAACTTTAATACCGTGATAGGAAATAGGGTGAGGGGTCCTTACTTGTTTTCGGGATCCGAATACGATTCACAGTGCGCCTGCAGGCTGTCCCTAATTTTCCCTGAATTTTTCCCGGGGAACTGAAACACGCTAACAGTACCTGCACGGGTTCCAAAAAAAATCCAAATTAGGCCCAGGGCCTCTTTCGGCCCAAATCGCAACTCCGGCACGGCGGCTCCGCCGTGCTCCGGCGACGGCGCCGCCGCTGGCGGCGGCGAGTCGCCTCGGGTTGACTGTTTTCGGCCGTTTTTGGCCGAATTCGGCCACACTCGCATTGGTCCTTGTCAGAAAACAACCCTAGGGCCCTCGGGGGGCCAAAAAAAATCACGAAAAAGCGGAGCTTACCGGCGGCGGCGCTCTCGGGTACGGCGACTCTCCGGCGAAGTTCGTGTTTTGGTGATTTGGCTTCGGTCAACCTGTAGAGAAAAGAATGGTGATCACGGTGATATAAAAATTGCATCGAACGGAGGCCGGGAAGGGCCTCGTCGGAGGTAAAAACCGAGAGGGGGCGCGGCGGCGCCGCTGGGCTTCGGCCGCGTATTCCGGCCGTTTGGCCGGGATTTCGGCTTCGATTTGGCCATAGGAGGAATCAGTGGGGAAAAACGAATCGGGGGTATGAAATTTACCTCGATCGGCGGTCGGAAATTTCCCCGGTGCGGCGGCGAGTGGCGGCGGGTGGCGGCGGTCGGCCTCTGGTTCGTCTTCTCCGGCGAGCGGCTGGCGGCTAGGGTTTTTGGTCTGGTGTGGGGGTTCTATTTATAACCCCTTGCCTTTTGATCACAGCCGTTCGTTTTGATTGAATCTGGGCCGTCCGTGCGTTTGAATCTGGGCCGTCCGATCGCGTGATTGATCTGGGCCGTCGGATCGCACCCACGCGGATCGCCAACGTGGCTCCTTTCGGGGTGACGCGATCTTGCCACGTGGCAGGCCCCGGTTGGCCGGGACTGCTGACCGGGCCTGCTGACGTAGCTGCTGACGTGGCCCCCCCTTTTTTTTTTTTTTTTC